GCAGAACAGTGTGCTTGACACCATGATACAATGTCATCAGCATTTTCTGCTGGAGAATAAAACTCCATGGAAGTTACAACTGAAGGAAACATTGACAACCAATTAATATAGACTGCATCTGGGACATCGCCTTGAGCACAGTCGGTATTCAGACCGAACTGCTCCAGAACAAGAGGTAAATCAGATAAATAAATTCCAACGCACTCAGCTCGACACTTATCTATTGCAGATGGAAGGTTTGGAAACTTGCTGTCATACGTTTCTCCTGGTTCACACCAACCTTTTATAGGACCTCCATTTATGACATATTCAGTAGTTTTCGTGTGGAAATTTCGTTTTCCATAACAATCACGCCAAAACAGTTTAACAGAACTATATCCCATCAGTTCATGAAGTCCAACTTGTAATCCAAAGGAACTTTCAGCATGTTCCACGTACATTTGCTTGTCTTCATTACGTAGAAATTCTGGTTTAGGATCCTCGAGACGAACACTAAGTACATTATTCAAAGAAACATTTTTAAATCCATCAACTTGTCGTACATCATCATAGTTAGGAATATTAGTTCCAACAGGAATTCCAGCAGCTGCAAACGTCCCTACATCCAAACTAGTAAAGTCTGGCTGTAAGAAATTAACTTTTTCAAACGTAGAATACCAGGGTAAACTTGTTAACAACCTTTCAGCATTATTTACAAGTCGTTGGAATTTTTTAGACACTGATCTATTTATAACAGCGACAAATGATTCAAACCTTGCACGAACGCCAAAGGGATCACGGTATGACTCGATAAAACCAATATACTTTTCAACAACAGGGTTCTTATCATTAACCCATAACCTGAAGGCATATTTGTGATTGGCTACTGAGCCAGTAGTGAAGCTTTCAGCATACTGATGTCACATTTCTGATTCGATTTGGTTAAGCGAATGTGCTTTAAAATCTTTACAACAATCGACTAGTAACTTAATCAGCTCACTATAGTCAACATATTCAAGCTGCAAAGATGTGTCCGAGGGAAGGGAATCCCTTAACTTCTCACGACGTTGACTTAGAGGGATTTGCAGGTCATGGTAACGTTGGGCTAACTGTCTCTGTTTTTCTTGGATAATAGGAGCGTCGAAATGACATTCTGCAGCAAGCGTGTCAGCCTGGACTTTGAATGTATCTATACGTTCACGATGAGTAGCTACATCAGATTCAAACGAGTTGTGCCGCTTTTGTACGTTCATCACACCGTTTAGATCACGACCGACATCCTCTGAGGCTATCTGAGCTTCAACATCATTCAACCATAACTTTACATCTTCTACGTTACGAGCGAACTGTTGTTGCCTACTTGCTTGATCTAAATTTTTCTTCTTGTCTCTCATGGCATTTACGAGATGAGACCAAGTTTCATCCAACTGTTCAATCTTTACTTTTATTTCTGGCGAGTTGTAGTGGTTTGCATTTAACAAATCCTGACCTGTCCTTTTAATACCTTCAACGCGGGATTGGTTCGCTTGTATTTCTGCCTCAAAACTCTGATGCTTCTGCACCTTTGTTTGCAAATTCGTGGAGTCTTTGTAACTTTCATCAAGTGCATTTTCAAGTTTTCTTGATATCCATGACTGCATTTCATCTGCATCTCTATCAAACATTTGGTAACGGTGGGAATCTTGAAGATGCTGACGGCGGTTCTGAGCTGTCTCCTTTAATGCATTTCGTCTACTTTGAAGACCTTCCTGAATCTCATGAACCTGTGCAGCCGCATAGTGGTTTGATTCGATTAAGTTTGCAGCGAATTCATCAAGTTGTCGCATCTTTTCTTCTTGTGCTAAAAGTGACTTTTCGAAGTCTTCATGTTTCCTTATGAGTGCTTCGACAGAATCGAGTGAGTCTCCCACATTTTTCTAAGAGGGCCTCTTGCTCACCAATCCAAGATTCCGATTGTTCAGCGTCGCGGTAAAAATACTGAAGGCCCATACACTGTTCTAGCTGTTCACGTCTTTCCTCGCACAACTGCATCAAGGAGGCTCCCCCTCTTTCAAGGGTGGAAAGTTTAGCAGCTATGTCTCCACTACAGGGATGGCCAACTCTTTGTAATGCCTGACCTTCTTGCATGCCTGTATCGAAACTGTCAGCTCGAGAATTTATCTCAGTGGTGTATTCCTTATGTCGCTCTACTTGGGCTTCAGCACCAGCTACATCCTTTGCCAAATCATCCGCCAACATTAACGTCTTCATTTCATTCATCCAGATACTCAAATCTCTCCAGTCAACCAAAAAGCGATACATCTTGAATGACTCTTCCAGTTTACCTTCTCCTACCTACAGCCTGACTTTTCAGCTTATCACATGCAGTAATTAATTCGTCATACTTGCCTTGTATAGTGTCTTGCGAATCAGGATGCTTCTGTGCAAGCGCATTAGCATCATCTCCAAGTTGAACAATCTTTTCATATGGGGCAGTCAAATCCCCTTCTTCGTGCTTCCTTTGTAAGGCTTGGACTGAGGCAAGATCACGACCACAGTCCTCAATAGATAAAGGAATGGACCTTTCATTCATCCACAATATAGCTTTATCTGTGTCTCTAAAGAAGCGCCGTATGTCATAGGCTTCCAGGAGCTTTTCTTGTCGTTTTCCAGCCAGATCCTTCAGACGTTCTAGAGCTTTTCGGACCTCTCTGGACTTTTCTATTACTAGGGCATCCTCAGGAAATCCCTCCTTTAGAAATTCATCTGCCTTCTGATAGATGTCTTCGGCACAACTTTCTTGATACTCGAGATCCTTTGTAAACTCATCAAACTTTTTTTGAAGTGTCTCAACATGTTCCAGGTCTTGAGCGAAATCCTCTGATGTTACGTAAGTTTCTCTTTCACGTATCCAGAAAAGTATCTCGTCGACTTGGCGTGAAAACTGGACAAATTTAAGCGTTAGGTTAATAAGACGTGATTTTTCTCTGAAAATAGCCATAAGCCTTTCCCATAGGGCATGCAATCCATCAAGACGGTTTTTGATGATATCTGTTGCGTAGTGTCCCTGACCAATCATTTCTTCTCCCGTAGAATCTAGAGCTGACAGTGTTTCAGCATAAACTGTTACTTCTAACTCAAACTCTTGGTGTTTCTGTTTTTTAAGCTGAAGATTACTGAGCTCTTTAAAATCCTCGTTTGCATAGGTTTGCAGTTTTTCATTGATCCAACACTCAAGTTCATCGGCATCCATCTTAAAATATTGATATCCTTTAAGCATGTCCAGAAACTTAGATATGGTTCTGGCGGACTCATCATTAAGAGATACAGCGACTTTATGGGAAGTAGAAGGTTTGTAAGGCGATTTATTGTGACAAGAACATTCGCGACTACCTTGTCGTAATCTTTCTAATTCCATTTCTTTCTCTTTTAAGACTATGCGCAATTTCGCTAGCTCCAATTCTATCATATAGCGTGATTTAACCTCATTGCTTCCAGGGAAATCAGCTTCATTACTCTTTCCTAACTGTGGAGTTAACGACGGCATAGTTTCATAACTTTTGTCTGCCATACTGTTCGAAACTTTGGTCTGTAATACTGTTCGAAACTTTGTAGGATTATTTTTGTCCTACAGATTTAGTCCTTCCTCAATACTGACGACACAGAATCTTTGCTTAGCTATAGTTAAAACAGAATGACTTGACTTTAACTTTATCTGTTTCTAAAACATAAAATAAATCATACAATTATACCAAGAAAAATGTACAAATCCACTGTAATTACAAAAAACAGGACAAAAACGTACCGAACAGTATTGAGGGTACGGACAAAAATGAACAGTCAATTAATTACATGTTTATACAAGTAGAGTGACAGACAAAAAAGAACATTCAAGGTCACCATCACGTGGTGTAAGTTACATTAATTGGCCAATAATCGCGACAAAAAAGGTCACATAATATTGATTGGCTGTTTATCATATAGTCTATCTATCTGTCGCGATTAACAGGGGGTGAATAGTGAAGTAACATTTTTAACTTGAACAGACAAACAATTAAGTAGATTTAGAACTACAATTGTCTTTTTTATTAACTCCTATAACCCAATGTGTATATTCCGTGAAACTTGAAGGTCAAAATTGATTAGAATGTTACGTAACAAGACAAATAGACAGGCATGCTGACAAAAAAGCAAACTGAACGAAATATTCCCATATTGAGTCATAAGAAAAAGGCAGAAACAGCAAAGGCAAAAGAAAATTAAATGAAATAGAATTAGGGTTTCCAAAACGTTTTTGAAACTTATAATTTGATTTTATTTAGGATGTATGCTGTTGGTGAGTATCCACGAGATAAAACGAGCTCGTATTATCCTGCAAACATGTTCGTTCTTTCTCTCTTCAAACAAATAAAGGGAACAGGTTGTATGAAACTCATGTTATTATCTCTGAATAAACATTATCCTGTAATGATTTTTATTCAAATATTTAAATGAAGCAAGAAAGTTGTCTGAGTGATTTGATATGATCATGAGTTCCAATAGTTTGTGCTCGAAACGTGGTCACATCAGTTAATATTATTGTATAACTGTGACTTATCGAAACAAAATTCTATCTATTATAGAGTTATAGGTTCACTATGTTGTTCGAGCTTGTATTTCGTCTATTAGTCAATCTTTGTTCCCAAGAGAAATCTGAACTGTACCCACTTTTCCTGAATATACCACAAATAGGCACTCGTTTATCACTGAATAATTCGTCTGCTTATATTATTTTTGGAATTATGTTACTTATACTTTCTGTTTATCGCTTGAAATCACTAAAAGAGTATGTGTAGAAATTTTGTTTAAGATGTACGCAGTTTAAAGAGCTCGTATTATCTTGCAACTACGTTCTTTCCTTATTGATTCAGACTAGTCGTAGGTTAGAATGAAAATTCCACAAGATTTGTTCCCAACTATATGATTAATATTTGTGTTTACGAAAAATATAATCTATCATTGATATTCATAAAACACCCAATATCATTTTTTCTTTTATTTAGGTGCCGGAACCAACCGCTGGTGTAAGTATCGCAAGTGGCTGTTAGTGTTTTCGTGTGAATGTGTATTTGGTACAACTGTCAGATAAACTGTTGTAATTTCATATCATGTCCGTCGCTTTCTTTTTCTTCGTGTAAACATTCATTATACAGTTACTTAACATCAACATGATTTTCCTGACTTATATATTGTCATCGTCTCCTCAGGTCAAGTTTTTACAATTTGCACGTGTGTCTGTTTTAATCGCGGGATTTTTATACCTGATTATTTTGAAAATGCATGCGATGAGCATTGTTATTTTATTGAATTGTCGTCTTGTTGCCAATAATATCTATCATTGTTTTTGTTTCTTGCGTTCATAATTATAATGATATTATTATTTTTTAATTACCTGTCCCCTAAAAAACATTATTTTATCAAATGACGTTTTTAGAGAAATCCTCATGCATACTGTACAAACTGTCTTTATTGTTAATTCAACTAGATATTCTGTGTGTATGTGTTTACTATGAGTATTTGCCAACATTTTTATACAATGATTGTTAAATCGCCCAATATAAGTTCAAGCATTTCACATTTATATGTGTGCATGTTGCGAAGTCTTTCAAAAACATTTCAATTTTGATTGACTATTTGTTGTACAGTGAGAAATATTCATTGTTTCTTTAATTTGCATAGTGAATGTTTTCAATGAATGTATTTACTTGATAATATACATTTACATCTTCAGGCGCAAATATATATATATTCATAATCTCTCTTCATACCTCATCCTTCACTGTTGTACGTTGTGTGTACTACAATATGCATAGTCGTTTTGTAAACATCCGTCAAGATTTTTGTTGTCTGATATGACGGTTTTACGTAGATGTTTATTTTTCTCTCTTTACTCCTATCTACTAATCCTAGCAACGACCCACCTTGTTTCTACAGCAAGCCGGTGCTCTGTTAGGTACTCATATGGGTGCTGTAATCGCTAATGTAGATGGTCATCAACAAATCATGTACAGTCTGCAGGCACAACCACTGGTTTCTTCAAACACCACATCAAGAACTCAAGTTCTTCTTTCCTTGGATGAGGCTTCCGAGTGTATTTCGTCTATGTCAGATCCAAACTGTATTACTTCTGGTAACAGTATTCATGTTGGTGCTGCTCAGTTACTAGATGAAGCAGCAAGCGAACTAAATATCCCATCATCTCCTGCTGTATCTCATCCAGTGAATACTGAATTACTCGAGACTAAAGATTTCGCCCAACACACAACAGAACTTGAGCGTAAACCAATTTTAAACACCAGTAGTGTTATTATTACTGACAGTCTTGTAAATTTGACTGAAAATCAAGCTGTTGAAATTCACGCTATAGAATCAAATAACCGGGAGAGCTTAGAGCCGGGAGTCGATAACACTGATTCACATCCGACAGTGATTACAGATGACGATGATAGGACTGTGTGACGTCATCATAATGCCACGTTCTTTGTATCTCCTAATTTCTTTGCTTCAAGACAAATGTGTAAATACCGCAGTAGAAAAACTTGACACGAATCAAATTATCGTATAATTATGTTTTTTAGGTGTTTTATCTCTTCATTCTCCCGAAGTGTTGTATTACGTATTAAAAAGCATGTGTCCATGATTTTAAAAGTAACGTGCTATAAAGATCATTTGTTGAAAATTGGGTACTATTTCACAGTTAAAATAATCTAATTTAAAAAATTGTAACGACATAATCGCAACAAATTTTTTTCCCTTTAATTTTTTGTACAATATTTTCACTAGTATGTATCCTAGAAAAAATGTGTACTCACTTTATTTTTTTTTTACTGGTACATGTGAATTGGTGTTTTGTGAACATTGACTACATCACGTATTTTCACATACATTTTCGTGGTTAACAATTTTGGACTTCAATTTCCTCAAAAGAACCCAATGTATTTTCTTCTGCCTACTTAATACTATCCATTTTGTCAGCCAATATTTCCAAAATATTAAGGATTTCAGTTTACCTACGGAATAATACCAACTGATGTGTACAATTACATATTAATTTGTTTATCAGATATGTGGGATTACATACTATCACAGTGACAAAGTGTTACACATATATTGACGCGTAGTGATAATATCTTTGCGGACTACAAATAAATCAATGGCGAAATGTATGATTGCTTTATTTCTTGATACTGCTCATAATCATTTGTATCTTGAGGCTCTGAAAAATTTTGAATAAGGTTTTCAGTTCTATTTGTCAAAGAGTGTTGTTGCCAGCCCTTAGGTTCGCATTGTTGTAATAATACTGGAGCATAAGATAATGTTAATGGACTTCTGGTCTGTTACTTAGTATTATTATTGTTCCCTTGGGTTCCTAGTGGAACATAGGGCTTCAACTGCACGCTTCCCCTTGCTTCTGTCTTCTGCTGTACTTTTCACATGCATCCATGTTAGTCCATATTGTTTCAGCTCCTCTTCACACGATCTCCTCCATGTCACCCTTGGACGTTCCACTCGCGACTTCCCTTTCGGCTTCCACTCGAGCACTGGCCTGACGCGCGATGTCACCCAGCGGCCTCCTCAGCGAGTGTCCAATTCATCTCCACCTTCTCCTGCATATTTGTTGAGCGATTGGTTCTTGTTTTGTTTGTTCCCATAGTTTCTTGTTGGTGATTCTTTCCGGCCATCTGATCTTGAGTATAGAGCGAAGACAGCTGTTGATAAAGGTCTGCAACAGGCTGTTGGAAATATTCCTTGTGACTCGCCAAGTTTCTGATCCGTATAGAAGAACTGACTGACTTGACGTTTGTATTGAAAATCCGAATTTTATTGTTGATGCTGAGTTGAGTGACGAAGATTTCCAGATTGGTTTCAGGTTGATGAATGTGTTTCTTGCCTTCGCGATTCTCGATTTGACATCCTCGTCCGTTCCTCCTGTGGTTGAGACAATGCTCCCTGGATAAGTAAGTGAATGAAGTAACCTCCTTCAAATCCCTCCCGTTGATGGTTATTTTCATAACCTCCGTCTTGTCTATGTTCACCTAGAGTCCTGTCTTTGCTGCTTCTTTGACCAGTTTGGCGGTTTTCCCTTGTAAGTCTTCGATTTTGTGTGACATCAAACATAAATCATCCACGCTCGAAATCCAGGTCTTCTAGGTTCTTCACGTCGGTCCAGGATATCCCTGTCTTCTCGTTTCCCACTGTCTGACGCATAATCCAGTCCACGACAATTAGGAATATCATTGGTGATAATAAGCACCCTTGTCTGACTACTGTGTTTACTCCAAATGCTTCGCTGAGTTTTCCGTTGTGGATCACTTGAAATGTGCCGTTGTCGTGCAGCTGTTGAAAAAGATTGATGAATATTTGGGGTACACCGTAGTACTCGAGTAGTTTCCAAATTACTTCGCGATCGACGCTGTCGAAGGCCTTCTCAAAGTCTTTAAAGTGTGGTAGAGGTTTGATTGCCATTCAATGCTTTGTTCGATGATTTTGCGTAAAGTTGAAATTAGGTCAAAACATGATTTGCCTTTCCTGAATCCAGCTTGTTCTGGTCGGAATTCTGCATCCAGTGCGTCCTTTATTCTCTGCAGGATGATGCGACTCAGGATTTTACTTGGCGTCGACAGGAGCATGATTCCTCGCCAATTCTTGCAGAGTGAGGCCTAAGTCGCCCTTCTTTGGTAGTTTCATGAGGTAACCTGTCCTCCAGTCAGTAGGCACCTTTCCCTCCTTCCAGACCTTTTGCAATAATGGAGTCAGCATATCTGCTGTCGTCTCTGGGTCCGCTTTCAGTGCTTCAGTGGGTATTCCATTTGGTCCAGCTGCTTTTCCAGCTTTCAGAAGCTTGATTGCTTTCAAGACTTCAGCTTTCGTTGGATGATTGGTGTCAACTTGCAGTTGTGTACGTGCTTTGTTGGTATTTCTGGACGGGTCGCAAGTGGTGGTTTGTTCAAGAGTCCTTTGAAGTGGTCCGCCCATTGTTTAATCTGTCTTTCTTCTTTGGTAATTGGGTTCTTTTGGCTGTCTTTTATAGGTTTCGATTGTGTTGATCTCTTTCCGGATAGAGACTTGGTTATCTGATATAGTGGTCTGAACCCACATCTGCTCCTCTCCTCGACCTTGTATGCAGTAGACTCCGTCTCCACTTCCTTGAGATTGAAATGAAGTCTATCTGGTTACTTTTGTGTGTCCATCTGGTGAAATCCATGTCGCCTTGTGTATATCCCTATGTTTGAAGACACTGCCACCAATCACCAAATCATTGAAGGCGCAGAAGTCTGAGAAGAGTTCGCCATTTTCGTTCATTTCACCGAGGGCCTCGCGACCCATGGTGAGTTCTCTTCCTGTATTGTCTCCTCCCAGTTTCGCATTCATATCACCCATCAGGATTTTGATATCGCCATTTGGGACGTTGTCCATTGCTGTTTGTAGTTGTCTGTAGAAATCCTTCTTCTTCTCTTGTTCTGAGACGTTTGTAGGCGCATAGCATTGAATGATTGTAACCTTCCTTCCTTTTGAGTTGAACCTGGCTAACATTATCTTGGAGGAGATTGGTTCCCACTGCATGAGAGCTTTAGCCGCTGTTGGTGACATCATGATGGCTACTCCCTCGGTGACCTGAGTAGATTATTGTCTCCAGTTGGTAGTTAGGTCCTTCCACATCCGTTCGATCTGCTCTCTCAGATTCCCAACACTTCTATTTTATATCTCCTCATTTCTGCGGCTACCTGAGCAGCCTTCCCAGCTTCGTACATTGTACGAATATTCCACGTCCCCATCCTTATTTTTGCTTTCATCGAAAGAAGGCACATCGGCTGACTGGCTTTCACCAGCCTGCGTCATTTCACTTCCCCGATTCCAGCGACAAATAAGGTTATTGTTTGTATTTTTAGAATTTTTAACATATTTGTGCGTTGGAGTTTTTGTAGCGGTTTGGTTAAGTTTCGGGGGTGGAGTTGCTAGCACCACGCCCAACCCTCCCTCTTTATCCGGGCTTGGGACCGGTTAGAAAACTAGTGACCTAGTAATCTAGGCGAGGTTACTTAGTGGTAGTAAATCAACCCTATCATGTGAGGGTTGATTATACTACATGGTTCTCCAAACGTGGAGTGAGAAGTTGAATGTGTGGCCCGATAAGCTGAACCAGATTTTCACCACTTTATTGTTATAATAGCTGCACCATATCCCAACGCACTTATCATTATATCAGTGTAGCAACTTTAAACATTTGGTACCAGCTTGAACTATGCGAAAAATAAAGACTCAACAATCGGTCTACATTTATCTATAGTATCTGTACAATGAAATCAAAAACGATAAAAAATAGTGTGGTAATGAACGATAAGTGGTAATATTGTGTCACTAAACTCAGCTGAGAAACGGGTTATGGTAGAGCTTGGATGCCGTTTACCGTGCCAATCGATCAGGAGTGTCCACACACTATGTTCGAAACATCAGTGGTTGCTGTACATGTCGACGTATTATGATCATATATTTGAGTGGCCCTGCAACATAGATGCCTACAAACCATAGTGATTAGAAAAAACGATTTCTGAGTCAGGCTCTAATCGTAAATAGGGTGATCTCAGGTACAGATTAGGAGTTAGCGGGGATAAAACTACTGGATTAATCAGTCATGCCGCCCATTACCTTTGAAAAAAATGCCACACTTCGATGAGCGAAAGTCACACCAATTAAGTAAGAATAATCGTCTTTATTCTCATACAGAATATTATTACCAGGATAAATGCATTGTAACTATGCCTACTACTGAGCCATCCTACACTAAAGACGGTGTCATGAACGACAAGGTTACTTCGCCCAACAATGTAGCTAATTTAACCTAAACTCATTGTCGGTGAAATACTTTTTTCGCAAGTTTATGCGCATCCTTCCCATAATCGTCACAAAAAGCAGTACCTAGGCATTGTAAACCTTGCAAAAACAACTAGCATTTCCATGCCACAACTATCGTACGAGGGTTAGTGAATAAACAACTGAAACGTAAACTAGGCGGAGAAAGTCCGAGCTCACAGATGTCGCAGCCGACTGGATTTTGTAAATTATTTGTGAAAGTATCGATAGCGCATCTGCCGATGGTGACTTTGAAACCCATCTGTTTTGATAAGTTATGATTGAATTTCCCGTACATTGCTAAAACAGGAGTGGACAGTACTGATACTTAATTTGGAGATCTAAGGACATAAATCCACTAGGGACATAATTAACGCTTAAAACAGCCATATAATCTTTACTCAATGTTTAGCTTAGGTGTGAGAGTAGGGTAGTGGTAAAATTGAGATGGTGTTCGTTTGAAGCCTATAAAAAATTCTAGCTTAGATTTTATGAAGTGAATGTGGGGAAGTCAGATATTGTGTCATTCATAATTATAAATTCGTATTACCAAATCTTGATGCGTTCATTATATTAACTTTTTATATGCTCCTTGATACAATATCATT